GGTGGTAGAACCGATGGTGCGGAGGCTTGCAGATGTACGAGGTGGCTTTGGTGTGCAGACATCACAGAGAATTCAGCTGTCCTCAGCGTGTATGAGTCCGGGTAGACCAATGCGTCGACTGAATATGAGTGGGTAGTGGAGGCAGCTGAGACGGGTCCTGCGGGTATATTCGGTTGTTTCGGGCACTGGTTCGGCAGTCTCGGTGTGATGGATTTGTAAGTGACAAATCAGACCGATGCATGACGTGAAGGTGCGATTACAAGCGGGAAAGTCGCGTATCGAATCCGCGTTGCTGGTGGTGGTTGCGGTGATGAGGGGTTGCAAGGCATCGGGAGTGTACTTACGGTGGTCGGGATGGAAATAGCGATAGCCGCCGTTGTCATCATCGCTAAGGACATGGAGCAGTGATGATGGACGTGGAATAAGTGCGTCGGCGGTCGGAGGGCGTAATATCCGTTGAAAACATGGACTCGTTGAAAGGTACTGCGAGTTGGGGCTGTGAACTTACAGCAGCTGAAACTTGCGAGTCGCGTTTCCGGCTTTAGCGGCTCCGATGCGGTTGGCCTCATGGATGGCTGTCTTAGTGTTCACTGTTAGTCTCCAGATCGACCGACTGTGGCAGAGGTCCTGCCAGGTCGGTAGATTCATTCGTTGGTCCTAGAAAGAGATTGGCAGAACGCATTTGTCGCATCGTCTCAATGGTCATTCCCCATCCAAATCGACTCGCATTTACACGGCTTCACCAGGTCGCAGCCAAATTTGGATTGATGGAGAGGGTGGAAGGCGAAAACGCATTGGGATTAACGGCCGTGATTAATGAAATGTTGATGAGGAGCAATCGGAATTTGATTTCATCAGCGAGTTTTCCAATCTCTCAGCCAACTGTTACATACGTCTAACTAGCACACATGTATCAGTCAGGAATGTTAGATGTGGATCCGAGGGAATTTGCGCCAAAACAAAGCAGTTCAGACCTCATCATCACCAATCTTCTACCATCGCCTACACGACAAACAGTCTCGACCCACGCCGCACACCACCGACACAGAATGCGCACCTCTGCCATAAGTGAGTAGAGTGGTCTCAGGCGCATGCCGGTGCTTGATTAGGTCGGATGCGGCAAACGTATACGAATCCTCGTAGATCAGTCAGCCGCTCTACCCACCCCCATCGTCAGCTGGTTGATCTGCCGAAAGATTTTTGTGGTGAGATCGTGAGGGGGCGATTGTGACGGCGACTTTTGGGACTCCACCTTGCGGCATCCCAAGCGATTTCGTCAAATGCGGCGCGTTTGAATCCATCACAACGGGTTAAGAGCTGCGGGTTAGGAGATGTACAACTGACGATACAACTGAGATCTCGAGGTCAGTCCTGTATGTTCGGAGTGACTGACTGGCGGATAAAGAGTCAGGACCTAATGATTCCTTCTCAAGTGGCTTATGTGGGGTTCCCACGCATGTGTCAGGACACCGTTCCCACAGCACTCGGACCACATTCCCCGTTATAAACAATTTGACGTGGCTTTGAACAATCACGATGGGCTAAAAGGCATGCTTTGGAATGCTACCAGCTGACAGGATAATTCGGTCCTCCCAGACCGTAGAGTCGGGCTGCAGTGGCTCCGTCTTGTGGTGAGCTCTACGGTATTCCCACACAGGTGGGATCTAGGCTGCTCTTTGGTTGTTTTGATGAAGACATGTTCCCGCGTGCACGGGCTAGGCGTGTGTAGGACATGTTTAGATGTCTCGTCATGAATTAGTCTTGCAGCGGGCAGATGCCGCTCAAGTTTGCCGTCAATATGAACTAATTCACGCACAAGTCACTGTCCTTGTGTCCAGCATGACGGTCCTACTTTCTCCACCATCATCTGGCCAATTCGCTCCTTTGGAGTCGACTGGCGTAAATATCCGGAGGAGAGGTCCGTCTGTATTCTGGAAGTTCATGTCCAATTAGAAGTGTTTTCTGTACGATGGACTGTGAAAAATGCTCTTAGTATGAAAGACTTTACTCATCCTACCAGACTAAGTGGGATTCCATTAGAAGAAATGGCAATGATTTGGCGAAGGACCCCCCTTAACTAACGGCAGAATGTGGATCACATCATATGGGCTTTTATCTTGGCAGCCATTAGCAGGCGTTCGCAGACTTTACCCTGTCAATAACAATCATTTGCCATGACTTCAAATCACCTATCAAACTCCTTTACTTTTTGGAATTGGCTTCTTTTTTATGTTTAATTACCGCACTCATTTCGGTTGTCGCACGAAAGCGTGCGACGATTCTTGCAAGAGAAAACCCAAAAATGTCTGTTTTTCTCTGCATTTCGTCAGTTTACGGTCTAGTACGGTGCCCTACCCGTGAAATTCCCCTTATCGCCAATAATGTATGACACGATCCACAGTCTACTGAGAGTAAATTGGGCTTCTTCTCCATACCGTTGCTGTGGACATTTTTCATTCGTTTTAATAGTGGTCTTGCAACCGGCCTGACTTAGGTATGATGTGAACAAGCAAACCTTGCACGGGAAAGTCTATAGTAACTGCTTTTCGAATGAGACTGCCCTGAAATCCAGACAAACTCGAACTCCAGGCTTTAATTTGCATGAGACATTGGTGTGATTTGAGTTTAATCGCCTTCTCGATATATGACACCACGGTTTACAGTGTCCCTAAAGTTGATATCACACTATTCGCTGACCTCTGCAACACCTGGGTGTTGCTTGTTAGGACGATGATCAGAAAATCTCTGGCGCGAATCGAACTTTTTAAAAAAGGATTGATAACACAGTCTCCTAAGCTCTTTGTTTATACGCCGTAGTACGGCACGGAGATTGTGCTGAGATGACTAGATACCATTTTATGCTCACTGGCTAATGAGGTAGTAGGCCCGTTTGACGTCACAGATAGCATTGTCTGTTTCCTCGTTACAACCCTGCTAGACTTCGTTCGAAAAGCAGTTGAGGGTGAACGCGCAGTTCAGAGTCAATCATGCCGACAGGAGGCAAGGGAGGTTGGAGTGGCGATTTCTGGCCTATTAACTGCCCTCAGCCTATGAATTCATTTGTATAGCAACCATGAATATATGGTGAGAGGAGCGCCAACAAACACAATGGAGACTGAAATGACCGTTCCAGGCTTGTTGTCCGTCATCAGCTAATAACTATCAACCTCAGGCCTTCGGAGGTTTTGGCCGGCGGATGAGGCCTTATAAACCAGAAATGGCCGTCCAAGCCTCCGTTGCCTTTTTTGATGCTCCTATCCGCATATGTTCCTCGTCGCTGTGTAACTAACCTCATGAGCCCTATATTAATCTAAAAGATACAACGCGACGAGAGCTTCCCGTAGTGCGATTGATGAGTGCCCCTCTACCATAGTTAATATACCCGATCACAACCGATAGGACAACGAGCCCGTGGCTCAATGGTTAGAGCGTTGGGCTACCCACCATGCTGAAAAACCCGCGGGGGACTTCGTCCAACACGAGGACCTAATTGACATTACAATGACCTACTTCATTGATAACCACTTTGTGTGGCATGCCCCATCCACTGAAAATACGTCTGACATTGAGTCACCAGTAACAGAGAGATTCGCTCATCCTTGTAGCCTTCTTGTCGTCCGTATGCTGAAGGTTGGATACGTTATGGTGAATCCTTGCTCAGCGTAGACATTCCCGAAAATGACTTTACTGGTGTTTCGATTCATTGCTATTCTAAAGTTTATTCTTCATCGAATGTAGTGTCTGTTGTCTTGGTCTTGAGCCAAGCTCTCCAAAATCTGTGGTTTTTCCGTCTACAGAGTAGATTCGCGCAATCGAAGAAGCTCCTGAGATAAGATACTTACCATCTCGGTATTCTCTTGCGGCTGCTCTCGTGCAAAGCATTTATGTGCTTTTCTTCTGCTGTCGCATATCGTATACAATCTTGCCAATTTCCCTTAGACCCCATGCCTGTGTCTTATACGTTACGCAAATTTACATAATGTGCTGGTTACTTGCACTTCATAAGAAGGTTATCGTTCCTTCTGACCAGAAGTTAGCTGAGTCTTTGAATTCTTCTCTCAAGTTCGTTTCGTCCAGCTCTTGATTAATTTCCCCCATCACGCAGTCATATGTGTATTCTGTTCCCTGTTTTGGCTTTCTAGTTAGCTCGGATTTCTAATTTCTTCACATTCGCGTCGAGGGCTCAATCTCGCTGGGATTAATGGGTACACCTTCCTTAATAAATCTAGATTTCTCCCATCTACGCCCGCCCCCTTATTTTGAGAGCAGGGTTTAAAAGTTTGGAGATACAGCACATCATGTCAGTAAGCTAACGTCTACCTCACTTTTGCTCAATTTCAAGGTAGATGTCGCATGAGGAATTCCTTATTTTGAGTTCAGCGTTTGTTTTCCGTCTTGTCTGACTGAGACCGAAAATTGCGTTCCCGGTTGAAATTTCGTTCCGGAAAATGGTGCCAATGCGAAAGCGAATGAACATGTGTGGTGTTCGGGCACATCGGTCTAATAATGCAAGCAATGATCAAGACTAGAAAGTAATGATATCTGTATGAAAAACGTAGCTCTAACTGAGGACTGATACGTTTGGTCCTAGTACAGTGACCGAGATAACGGGGAAATCGACGAATGTGTGCTGTTGCACAGAATCACGAAAAATAAAGTCCTCTCTAGTAGCTGGCTGCTAAAGAAAATGTGAGTCCATTTCGATGATTATCAGGAGGTTCGAGCTGGTCCTCGTTGGTGGGGCTTGTCGACTGGAGAAATTCAAGTCCGGCAAGGTGTGACTGAAAAGAAACCCCCAGATGTTTATTGCGTCTGACTACAACAGATTCAGGCGTATAAAATTGATCCATAAACCGTCGAAATCAAACGGCAGCGAAACCAGAACACCCGTTGTCGCAAGTCGAAACCGGTGGTTGTGTGCATTTCTGGCATATTCAAGCAACAGTGCAGAGTAGCGCAGGTGTACGAGAAAGTGCGAATGGTAAAATCGAAGATGTACATTCACGCTGACTAGGGAATCTGACTTCCCTCGTAAGCACGCCCACAGAGACCTCAGTAAGATAGATTGACCTACGGCGCGAGGTCTGTTTCCCCATGTGACGGCAATTGTAATTGTATAGTGAGAAGACCAAGTTCTGATAAGAAGTTAATTTAATTATTGAATTACTTACAAAAATACTACTTAATTCTAGGTGGGAGCGAGGGTCATCATAGCCGATGGGGAGGATCTGGTAGGCCTACCATTTGCTCTATGTGCTTAGACAAAACAACCTGCGTAGAGTGGCAATCAGTCGCCTCCAGCGTCGATGCCTACTTCTCTGTAGATAAAAAAAACGAAATGAACCATCAGATGAATTCAAAGGCGCAAATATCACAAATGTCTTAACAAGGAGAGCACATACCTTGACCGGTTTGGCAGGAGAAACTGGGCTTTTGTCTTGAAAAGTAAAAAAATTCCCATTAAGACTACGCCGAATGATGGATTGAATACACGTGGTCTTTCATCATTACTTGAGTTTGGATAAGATACTCATAACCTCATTAACATAGTAGACAATGTGGCCTAAAACGAAGTTTGTCAAAGAGACTGTAAATATTGACAAACTGCCTTTCAAACATACCCATGGACGTCGGATGCACGCACACAACTTCGTCGCCGCTGTCCAACACTGGAGTTGTCTGAGTCCACCTCATTTCAGTTTCCTCTGGAACTCCTGTCTGGAGGAGCCGTGTCAGTTGGATCCGGGGTGAATCTCCACCACCTCTGAGCGAAAGATCAGAACCGCGACTCTCGCTGATGTGGCTGCTAAGTAAGCCGACTTCATCGGCAGGCGAGAGACGCGAAATGAATAGGGGTGGTGGCGGCGATGAGGGCGGCGTCGTCGTCGGCGGTGGCGGCGGTCCCGTCAACGTCTTCAACGGCACCAACAGGGTGGAGGGTGATGGGGATAATGGTGGAGACGAGGTAGACGTTGTCAACAGTTCTGGTGATGAGGAGGGTTGGGTTAATAATGGCAATGGACTCAACCCCTTCAACGCCTCTGGGAGTTGAGACTGTGGAAGGGAAAGTTGTGTGGAAGGGGTCAGCGTCGATAAGGGTTCCGGCAGTGATGTCAGTAGGGTTGAGGGTTTCGGCGACGACGGCGTCGGCGACGGCCAAGCAATCAGTGCATTTAGGAGCTGAGACGGAGTCGGGGAGGGAGCAGGGGACGGCGTCAAGGACGGAGGCGGCGTGTACTCCTCTGCAGTCGCTACTGTCTCCACCTGCTTCAAGGTCAACCATCCTGGTGGCGGTGGTGGTGGAAGTGGTGGTGGGTGTGCCATTGCGGACAACGACCTTGGCGGTGGCGGATTGGCTGGCGTTGGGAGTGCTGGGGTGGCCGAATGTCGCGGCCGTGGGCAAGGCCGTTGTGGTGGCGTCGATGGTCTGCACGAGTCCAAGTCCAGCAGACAGGGGAACGTTGGCGGTGGAGATGGTGACGGCGAAATCGGCGCCGTGAACGGATGAGGTGGTAGAGAATGTGGGAGTGGCGACTTCGTTGATCGCATTGGTGCCAACAACGACAGCGGTGGTGGTGGTGGTGGTGGCTGTGGAAGAGGTGACAGCGGCGACTTGGCTGATGACTGGGATTTTCTCGGATCCAACCTACGAGATCTTGGATGTGGAGTCGGACGGAGATTTGGTCCGCTAAATGCTATCGTTGGGGGTCCTGGGTCCCTATGTTGGGGGTCAAGCGTGGGGGTTGAGGATGAGGACGATATTGATGAAATGGAGCTGTTTGAACCGGCCGCTGATACACTATCCACTTCACCTTCCGACTCCTTCTGGTGTGCGGAATTTGATGATTGCGATATGGGAGTTGAATTACCTTCCAGAGTGCGTAGGTTTTCTTCACTTGTGAGGCTCAAGCGACTGACATATTCCAAACTTGTTGACCCGGAGATTTTCTCACCTAGTCTAGAGGGAGCTGATCTCCATCGAACAGCTGTGTGCTCGGTGCCAGTTGTCCATATGGATGTATCAGATTTGAAAATTATGTCCTGTTCAATGCTAGATTCCTCCTTACTGTCCGAATTTCTACCGTCCTTAAAAATCATGGGATTTGTAGATGAGGATGCTACACTAAGTGTGCTGACGGGTGTTGCGCAGTTGGGACATTTGTACGTATTGAATTTTGATACACTATGAACTAGAAGACAAGGTAAAGAAAATGGATTACCTGAAATCTGATCTACTTATAGGTAGAAAGTCATGAGTTAAAATGGATTCATGAAAACCGACACCAACAACCTAAAATAATGCTTCTTTACGCCCAAGGTCATCCCCCATCCTCGGTCGTGCGTATTAGATAAGTGATGCTTAGCTGGCTTAAATAAATCAAGTCGGTAAAAGTATCGGTCAATGCAAGATAGAAAATGCATGCATAAAGACCTTGTGCGATGCATATATCTTATTTATAATTGCTGGAATTTCTTCATTAATGCGGGCTCACGTTATTGCTTAGGTGTTGTGGACGAGGAGATGCAGAAAGAATAAATCTTGAAAGATACAATAAACGGACTTACTGCTATCTGCATACGAGGTTCCGTCCATATACTGACGGAACATACCCTGTTCATACGGTAATATTGACGATCCAACTACATGTTGATCCTGGTTCCACCATTGAATGCAACGGCACAAGAGTTTGGATGGGCTCAGCATCTCGTAGCTCGTCCAGTTGCTTTGTGACGCAGTTCAAGGCTTAAATTGTATTGATTGGTTTCGTGCGACCTTGAGCCCGACCAACCACGCGGATGCCCACTGACGTTTGTTGATTCAGGTGGTGGTCACGTGTTACGGAATAGAAGTAGGGTGAACGGTAGAGGAGGGGATTCAGTTGATAAGGAATTAGGTGGACAGGCCTGATATTTTGCGGTTTTTACTTCATGCAGGAACGATCAGAAATGCCTGCGGTATAATCCCTTGCTTGTGGCGTTCACCGGTTTAATGGTCTTAACATTGTAAACGTATTTTACAAGAATTCAGTTCTATTAGACGTATCCGTTTTCTTCCTCCTCAATCATAACTAACTGAATAGCTTTAAATTTCTGTGAGTCCCTTCGCCGAGGGCTGATTTCCGTCTCATTTTATTGATTAAACATATTTCGAGAGATTTCAACCACTGCACCTGGTAGTCGTTCCATATGACATACGTAATACCCCCTTAATATTCATCTGTTCTTTCCTGCTACCTCTTAACATTCTGCTTATATGAGCTTTTGATAGAAGGCCCTGCTATCTCATGGAATGTTTTGAGGTGTGTTTTCGATGAGGGAAGGTGACTAAAGTAGGATTGTATAATTAAAGATTTTTCTGCGGAATGTCTGGATATTTCAGTCATATAAGCATGCCAGCTTTTGAACGAGCTTCGTTGGTGCCGACCGGATAAAGTGTACTCAGGGAAAATAACTAGTCGATTAGTATGGATTTCCCAAATTGATTTTCGCTGACCTCATTAATTCGAATATGTATCTTAGAAAACACACTAAAACTGGTCGTTCGCTTACTCATTTATTTGAGACTTATTTCGTCGAATGTTTTGCTTAGAAAAGATTATCACCAGGTTTATTACGGTTTATAACTCTGAGATTTTTTTTTAATCGTGAAATGTATTTTCATAAAACACTGTATCTCCTCGTTTGCTTGTGCAACGTATGAATTAAATCTCCTGCAAAATTTAATGACAGCCGGATGGCTTCTTTTTAGTAGCACATAGAAATGCATGATTTGAAGGTTTTTTGAGCAAATAATATAGAACCTGTCTTTATAGACAGTCAATTTAAAACACCGAAAATCGCAAAGTATTCAGCGAAATCTCAAGAGCCATCTGAAATTCAAAGTGACCCGGAACAGGGAATAATAGCGAACTGAATTTGCGGAAGAAACATTCTTTTGACGAACATTAGATGGTAAGTTTAAGGCTGCATCCGTTAAATCTATTTGAATTGATGAGTCACTGACCGGCTTGGCAACATGCGACCTTGTAAACTTTTTCATTTCTATGGCGTCCATATCTGCGAGATAAATCAAAATAATGTGTGCCTTATTAAACTGTATCTTAGTCAATACAAATACGTTGAAAGTTTCACGAATTCTCTGAATAGCATTTTGGAATATATACTCAGAATGTGGGCTGTTGGTAAACCGGCATACTGGCATTATACAAAGTTTTAAAAATATTTTACTGTAAATTTCACTAAACGTCATTTTATTTACGGGGTAATATTTAGTCCATTCTCGTGCATTGGTATCCGAAATATACTAAATTTCAACCATCTCGAACGTTTTTTTGAATTTTCTGCTTTCTCGAATAAATTGATACATCTAAACAAGGGAGTATTCCCTTTACTATTTCTTTTACGTCTTCGATTCCCTTACAGCTAGCATTTATTAATCTAGATATGGACTCCATGATCTAGTGTCATTTTGCGAGTGATTAACGATCATTCGTAATCTTCGACACCTTTCATCATATAGGTCACCATATTCTCTTTCAAATTCCATTCTACGGTTGCATCCCTCGCCATTCAAATCAGTGCTCACTTTGGACAGGTAGTGTTCTCTGGATGCTTACCAACAAAAGTACTGCAACCAGTAGTATTGTTTATTTAGCCGCAATTATGGAATGCAGGCTGCGGGATGGATGCTGTTCCAGGAAGACTATGGTTGAAACAATCTCCTCCTAGCCGAGTAATATAACGGCTGAAATCCAGAGAAACCATTATCGTAGATTGTGGTTGATGGACTTGGCTTTTGTCGGTTGGCTGTTGTCACCAAGCCTCTGTTCACGACCGAATCGTGATTAATTAAGCAAGCGGAAAAGTGGTAAGAGGAGCAGTGCTGGGGCTGCTTCCGTTTGAACCTCGGCGCGGCTGAAAACCAATGACTGTTGCCTTTCTGAAATGAATGACCTCCAAAACCGTATTCAGAACGAGGATTCCGGTGCTCTTTTGGCATGGAATTTAGCGTATTTGGCTTTGCCAGAGGAAAGTAAAGATTAAACGCTCGGTAAGGGCGCAATATGAGACTCCGGATTATATACTACATACAGCTGCCTACTGAATTAGAAAACAGAAGCGTCACGTTTCCAGCCTCGACAGAGATGCCACCCATTCGGTCACTGAACCTCCGCACGGATGTCTTTGGTGAACGTGCGTACTACGGGGTATTCTTGCATCAACTCCTTTAGATTAAGTGTGTTTTTCGATATGATGTCATTCATATCAGTGGTTTTGTTCGCTTTGTCACCTGGGGTTCGGTTTACCTTTCGATAAGTTGCCGTCATTACCGGACACAGAGTTAACCGCGTTGTCTATAGCGACTACGACATCAATTCCATCCGTTGAGTCACTGTACACACAGACGGAAATTTTTCAAAAATGGCAATAACTAGAGACTTCCTTCCCCCTTCTTTTTGGGTTCAGCTTACTTTTCCATAGTTTGCCATCCCTACCAGCAGTTTTGTTCCCTCCATCCTTTCAATAAGTTGCCATCAAAGCAATCACATGTTCAACAGCGTTGCCTTTAGCGGGTAAGGCATCGATACCATCCGTGGAATCACTGCACGCTCACACGGAAACCTTTCGTAAACGGCAAATACTAGAGATTTTCGTCCTCCGATCCTCGTTAGCTCAAGGTCAACTTTCGTTAAGTGGCCAACCATAAAGTCTTAATGTCCACCTTTGTTACTTTAGCGGTTCAACAGAAATGTCCTTCCTTCAGTCGCTGCAAAACCCCCACACGGAAATCTTTCATGAATTTTAGTAATAGGAGTTTTCCGATAAATTCGGTGACCTTTCGATACGTTGTTATTCATACCAGGAGTTTTCGTCCCTCAAGGTCCTTGGAGTTCAGTTTGCCTTTCAGCGACCGCTTTTTCCCTGCCACAACCATCGCGCATACGAACAAATGATATTAACATAAGTTTAAAAAAACACACCAAAAATCCGTTTAATGGACCTTTTGGTGGAGACGGAATCATATTGTGTACTGGGCTTCGTCTAGATGAGCTCAGGGAGACCTTTCCGGAGACCGGCCCACTTTCCCGCAGTTTCCTCTCTAGCTGGCTTCAATACGCCTCGATGGCGTCTGTGTTGCGGCCTGTTACATGGTCCTTAAAATTTCTGGAGTGGTGGACCATGTAGTGCTCGTACCCTTCTGCCGGGAAGGCACTGTAAGCCTCCCATTCGGCAGTACAGTGAATGACCGATCTCATGAAATATTGGCTGAAATTCTGAAATGTGTTTTCGATTAGGAAGGTTTACTTAAGTGGAGTCAAAACATTCATTCTCATTGGACGTAGTCCTGACATATTTCGGTCTTGGCAGGATGTCAACTTTTGAATGCTATACATTTTAATCTTCTGTGAAAACCGTACTCCACCCGGCCCGTAAGACCCGTGAACCTATCTTGGGTTATTTGGAATGGGTCTCATCCTGCGTCGTTGCTTAACGGTCTACCGCAAAGTTTGCTTGTGATTGTGGATTGTAAACTGAGAGCAATGCTGAATGTTAATCTTACACAAGCGATTTAACAATCGCAACTGCTCTCCTCGTTTGTTCTTCTAGCTGGCATGCATTCAGCCGCCTGCGGACATTGTCGGTCCTGAATTGCTTACATTGTCTACACCTGCATCATGTATATCAAATCCGGACCTTATCAGGGATTAAAAGCGCAGGAAAAAACCTCCGTTTTTACGTTGGGGAGTTATTTTTTGATTGCATGCAATATCGCTGCACTAAGGGGTCATTGCAGCCTCATGCTCGGCCCACTAGTCCCCACAAAATGTCCCCACGATGCGTGTGTGTGCAGCTGGAACGATGTGTGATGATGTGATTAGGAGTGCGGATTTTTGGCTAGGTGGATGTCCCGCAGAGGTGTAGGCTGATGACGCGGGAGCCACGGGTATATGTTGGAAAGTAGTCACAGTTCAACTGCCATTTATGAAGATGCCCACCGTCTGTTCCACAGCATTGTTAGAGCGAAAACTGTGACTGAAGCCTAATAGTAGAATTGCATCGTATCTCTCGCGCTCTCTTCTCCTCCCCACCTAGGCTCGGACGCGAACGAATATCAATTTAGTAAAAAAATGGGTTTGGAGTTCATGAGCATTATTCTGAACTACTCAAACCTACCCGCAGAAATCAGATATTAATGTACCACCTCCGCCCTAGGAGAAATATCTGGCTGTATAGTATTAGGTGACGGGGATCTACTCACCTGGCGAACATAAATACTGGTTTAGCCATCGAGGTGTTCTCAGTGACAGATGACAAAAAGCAGCCTAGTGTCAGCTTGCTATGTGGGCTAGGGCTCGAAAAAATGTATCACGTAGAATATTACGGTATTGCGGAGAAAATAAACCGTCTAGGTGACAAACCAAAATCTCTTCAAGTTACTGTCGTGGTTAGGTAGTGATGTCGATGTCTCCTGTGGATTTGTCGGTGCATTCGACACTGATGGCACTGCGTGTGGCACGTGAAATGTGAAGTAGAGTAGGAAGGAGCTAGCTAGATGTCGGGTAAGTGCTGACATGTTGTTGACACACAGTGGATGCACCATGTCATAAGATGCTAACCAAAATTCCCAAACGTGTCTTTGACTAAAGAAGATTGCTCGAGCAAGGTCGTAAGATTGACTGTCTCACAGCATAATCACGAGCTATTACAGTCAGGTCAGGATTCCGACCTTTAAACAAACTGCTTTCCGACCGTTTGCAAAAGCTTCACTTCGTACGAACTGGATGTCTACTTAGTATGATTTATTCTTATCGATATTTCATGTCTTTATATACCCTGATAATTTATGTAGAAGACATGCCCAGAAATATCTTTTATTGCTCTCGGTTGGTAGCATAATTTTTTGTCGAAGTACGTTCATAGGGAAAGACATTTTTCACTTTTAACTAATTTCTGGATTTTGGGATTTTTAAAACCGTAAAATGTCTGCCTATGAATCATCGTATACGTCCGTTTATAAATGCAGCTTGCAAGGTATGGAACGTGATCCACATACACTGCGAAATTTTAAGAGTCCCAAGTTAGTTCCACTTAATAGCATACATAAATGTGTGATGCGCCTTACAGGAAAGATATAGTCTATAGTTTAGAAACCCAGAATACAAGTGCGACGGCCAGTCAATTTCAAATTCATTCAGAAATCGAGGTCCTTTAAAAACGAACTATGCGCCTTCTCCGAACGCAAAATTTAAAAGAGACTTAATCCGCTACTGAAAAAACCCAAGAAAATATTTTTGCGCACTTTTTCGCGAAATATATTTAGATATATAAGGGCATCCAAAATCAATAGACGAAATTCACACTACATAGGCGGTCATTTTTTAATAGTTTACTTTTTGAAAGTGGCCGGTGTGAAACGCGTTAAATATTCTGCCTTCTGATGTGACTGAAATATCTTGTGATTATGCCGGGTGTCAGTTGGTCTTGCGACCCTACTTCAGTAATCGTTTCTTATCGAATTTCGATTACAATTCCATGAGAGAGCACATCAACTGTATATTCCGAATCAAGAAATCACTCCAACAGAATGAATAGAATCAAATACTAAAAAAAGAGGTGGAGGGATCCCAGAGCCCAAATACAGCCTTTTTACTCCCCCTTCTTAGTAGGGCTCGCTTTCTGCCGTCCTTTCTGGACTCAGGAATGAGGTAGATATGTAAGGATTCACACAAGCCGTTATTTGTGATACGTCCTCCGTCACGGGACGGTATAGATTGCAGCACAAGAGTGGCTTGGACACGATTGTTTTTTTTATCACAGCCGGAGGCCTGATGGCCATTATTTCATTAAGCATTATGCCAACTCACCGCAAAGCATCGGTGATGAGTAAGCTCGACAACATGGACATGAGACGAGTGTTAGAAAAAGTACTCTGTACAACATGAAATGCGTGAGAGCGGATTTAGTGCATAGCGGAAAGCCAATCATAGGGAGATAATGGGTGGGTAAAGTTAGGGAAATTGCTTTTAACTGGAACAGACAACTTAGGCCAGTTTTCGGGAATCCTCGTGATGACTGCCTCCACACAGACCAATTGTTAAGCATGATACAATTTCTCAGTAGAAGACTAAATGACATCAAAAGGCTGGCCAGAAAGAAGGGATATGTCATTTAAAAACGCTTGAAATCCATTATCAGGCCTTAAAATAGAAGAACGCATTTCTTACCGGATTTTGAGCGAGAACAAAACTCATTTTGTGGTTAACCTTGGATGGATAACGAAGGGTAGGGAAACTGGACCAGTCTGCCTCTAGAGTGATACCCAGTTGAACAGTGAGACGGGTCGCTGGTGGTTGTTTAGATCCAAACTCATTGAAACGTATTCATATCGGACGGTGTCGGGAAAATAAAGGCGGGCTGGTCGTGATCGTTGCAGGAGGTTCTCAGAGGAAAAATAAATGCCATTGACAGATTCACCACTGCAGAAGGAAAAGTCTCGAACCAATGATCGAAAGCCAAGGTCGTGCTTTTAAATAAAAAAACATACATATGAGATTTGTAACGCCATTTTCATGAATGTGATATAACTTTGCTCCACAAACAGTCGAATTCTGACTTTCTATGGGATTTCATAGACGTGGCTAAATCTAAAACACTTGGCTGGCATACAATTCGATACAGCTTGAACTTTAAGCGAGTTTTTGTTACTTTTTTGCGTAGATCATGAAATTATGAAAACCTCACGCATTTCCACAGTCTGTGGTAGTAATTAATTGTCTCAATATATGGACTAAGTAGATTTATCTGTTGGCAATTCCATCTTCTTCGTCGAAGAGGTCTGCCTTATAAAAGAGATTACACCCTGGCTGGTGGCTTAGCCGTTTAGAACGCTCGATGCGATTTCGAGAGACAGGCTCTTCGTCCGTTCCCGAGCATCGGTTTTTAACTTCATCCTTGATTCTGCCATTAAAGTTTTAAAAATAACTGCTACTCATTATCCCTCGGAGTAGTTTGTTAATACGCGGTTTCGCGCAAAACTGATTGTGTTGAATTGAACATGCTATTTGGCAGAGAATGCGCTTCTGTAAGACAATTATGAAAAGGGTCCCACTTTGAGGAAAATGTTTCCATTGAGAAATCACAACCTAGAGGCTCATGTGGGAATTGGGGGATGGATATTTGCGTGCTGTTTTGTAAAGTACGCCAATATATAATCCCTGCCGACAGTACAACTATAACTAGCAATCCGTATAGGAAAACGTACTACCGAGAAATGGAAGGGAAGCTGGGATAGCCACTTATAGCCTATTTGCGATTAGAGTATGGCCACTTTAATGAAGTCAAATGGACCAGAAATTACTACCATAGCCTAAGTTGCGTTGTTACTAATTATTCTCAGACAAGCCAGAAAACTGAAAAATGCAAACATACCCCTTTGGCCGGATTACTCTCTCCGTCTCTTCAGATATATAAACGTGGAAAAACACGAATAATTTTGATTTATTGCGAACTGTTCCACGTCGTACATCAATGCACTAGCAAATTATCGTTTGATAAGTGATGATCAATTACAATGCTCCAGTGGATACGGTGTCAAGACGGGGAAGTAAGCAGTCATGAGGTTTTGCCGCAACAGGACAGGGTTATACAAGAGATTACTATGCTTTGGTCCTCATGGTCACGATCAACATCGTCAGCAAGACGCTACATGCTGATGGGATTGATACAGATGAAACTGGTTACGGCTCAACATTCCGGTAAAAGGCAATTGTTTTCACACTTTAGACTGTGTAGGAAAAAGAGGAACTCGTGTGGTCAGGAAGTGTGAGTCGCCGTGGCGCACGTGCACTGTCGACTATCGAGTTACATTGGGAAAACCTCCAGCCCGTATTACTTACAAATCCTTAACTGGCAAGGTAAGTCTAATTATGTGCC